GGATTACACACTAGTACTATTATTTAATGGCCACGCTTGAATGATATTTTAATTCTGAATTCATTGTTCTGAATTAAATTTGTTCGAAATTCAAATATTCTCCTCTATGTTTACATGGAAATATTAATTCTGAAATAAGTTTTACATGGAAAACGTGTTAAATGGTCTTTATTTAATTCCACTCAGCGTCTGGGGGCGGGGAAGGATTCTGATTGGACAGAGACACCAACGTATTTACATCGACCAGAAGAAAACACACACTTCAGCTGCTACCGGCTTTTTTATCATCTCGGTTTGTTGTTACGCCACGGACACAAACGTGATCCAAACTTTTTTTGCAGTCATTCTGACACTAGGGAGAACTGCGAAAAAAGAAGGGAGGAAGAAGACAAACCGAGTCAACGGCTGCTCTACCTCAGCCCACTCCCGCATCCCGCTCACAAATCCAAAGAGATGTGGATGAAAGTCTGAAGTCAGGATTGGTGGAACCGGATCGTCTGGATCATGTCAGAATGGCGACACAACGAGCATGTGCTGAACGACAGGATTATTTTTAAGAAGAAGAAACATGAAACATAATCGAGGAATAAATTCATTCAGCTTCAAAATCAGAATAATCCACCCACTTACTTCAGAATTATGTTTAATTCTGAAAAAATAATTTTCATTAGGAGTTAAATGTTTACATGGTCTTTTTAAAGCGGAATTAATTTTCATTCAGAATTTAATTATTTTTATTGGGAATTAAAGCTCTTATGTAAACATGGCAAATGTTGAAAATCATATTCTATTGTCTAAAGAAAGTGTTTTATTATCATTGTGGTATCAGAATCAGTATCGAGAATGGAGTCGATTCTTTAGTATCAAAATCAACTTGGACATTTTAGTATCATGACAACACTAGTAAGAACCACCAAAACATTGTCTGCATTTAACCTCCGTGTGTTACGAGCCTCTCTCTGATCTATCTCCAAGCAAACTTTTTCCATTCTCTTTTTGAAAACACTTCTTCTCTTACCCCATGGTCCATTTTAAGTACAGCCTCTCGCAGATGACAGCAGCTAGGCTAACTTTAGCTGCAACCCCATTCAACAGTCACAGAGCAGCTAAGAGCGGCTAACTGCTAACGCCGACCGCAGAATTCACACTTTGGTCACACTTACGGCTACGCTACGCCTCCCTGGCTGGTTATCGGGGTGCGGGTAGATTGTTCGATTCCTCCGTCATTAGGGGCTGCTTGAGGGCTCTGGGGTATCCGCTAAAGGAGTGCCGAAGTTGGGGAGTACATGTGCCGGAGAGGGGGGCGGTCTGGAGGTGTTGTGGAGGGGGAAAAGTGTAAGAGGACACCGACAAGATCGAGTTGCGTTTTGAAGGAAGAGAGAAGGAGAGAAAGAAGGAGGGAGAGAAGGAAAGAGAGAAAAGGAGAGTAAAAGAGAGCGAGAAGAGAAAGAGAGAGAGAGAGGGAGGGGGTAAAGGAGTGAGGGTGAGAGAGAGGAGAGAGAGAAGGAGGGAGAAAAAGGAACGAGAGTGACAGAAATGGGGCGGAGAGGGGAGGGTGAGAAAAAGTAAGAAGAGAAAGAAAAAAGAAAGAAGAACATAGTAGGTTGAAAGAGTGAGTGAGCGAGAGAGCATAGAGAGATTGAGGAGCGTGAGAAGGGGAGAGAAGAGAAATAGGTAAAGGAAAGGAGGAGAGAGCGAAGAAAAAGAAGAGAAAGATGAAAACAAGGAGGAGAGAGAAAATTATGGGAGAGAGGAGGATGTTATGAAGACAGGAAAGAGACAGAGACAAGAAAAAAGAAACATGACAAAAATGAGAGAAAGACTTAAAGAGTGAGGGAAATAAATTAGAGAGAAACCGGAAGGAGGGAAGGAGGAAGAGTGGGAGAGAGAGAGAGAAAAAGGGGGCGAGGAGGAGGGGTATTGTATAAGGAGCTATGTTTAAAGTCTATTTTCTGCAGCGCTGTTTTAAACCGAGACTGAGACAGAACAGATGGAGCTGTGTAACTGTCGACTTGCAGATACAATACTGTGTTTAAAGAAGACTCATCACAACAGAAGCAAACGGGAATCTGCACATAAACAATCTAACACCTCGGAGGGATTTCAAGTCTCTGTGGAGGATTTTTTACGATTTGAAAACCTGAAAAGCAAAACTAGTTCATTGTAAACAGTTTGCAGTGGTCCGGAGTTATTCCTCATGTACCTAATGCATTCTGAGCATCCTAATTATTCAGTTTAGAAGCTCTTTTCATAACCTTCACAGACCAGCAACGCTAACAACTACTAGCATGCTAAAGGTGCACTTCCTGGTCACTGGACAGTAAAACAGTTCAGAATTTGATGCACACAGCGGACTTATTTTGACATCAAGAGCAAGACAGACTTTTGTTAATGCACTTTGCAACTAAACTTTTTTCTATGACAATGACAAAGAAATCTCGAATCTTGAAATACAAAAAAATCAGGAACAGTGGAACAGTTAATGCAACGTGCTAACTGTGCAGTTTAGATCCCAACATGTTCTGAAATGTGGATGCAAGAACAATATTTGCAAGAAAAGTCTGAATTCAAGCTTATGCAAGATTATGAAAAAATTGAAATTGAAATTGTAATTTCATTTTAAAGGTGCATTATGTAACTTTTTATATGCTGTTGGTAGTGAAAACAGGAACTGAATGACACTATGATGTCTTGGAAATAGGTGATTAAAGATTAAGATGCACAAATCACTCGAAATTAGGGATGGGCATGATTAATCGATTAATCGATAATTGATCATTAAGAATTTCATCGATTACGTTAATTTTAATCGACAAACTGAATGTAGGTTGCTGCGCGTAGCGTGACCAAACAGGGGTCTGTACATGTAGCTCTCTGCACTCAGAAGGAGCGAGACACAAACAGTCGGTCAGTCTGCAGCGTACCGAAGCACAAATGCGTATTTAACGATGATTTGTACAAGAAATTCCACGCTTTCCGTTGCGTTCGGGACAAGTGGGAGTCCATGTGCACAGTGTACAAAGCAGCACATATGTTTCGGTGTCCAGTGGGAAAAAGCTTTACCAGGTAAGAGTCGCTCAATGTCGATGACGAGTCCCCACCTCCCACCCCCCGTACGGTGTCCTGGTTTTGACAAACGCAAATATGGACACACTAACCTGTATTCCACTGAATCATGTCTTTTAATCCGACAGAAATTGACCACATCAGCGCACAAGAGCTGTATTTTTATCTTCGCTGAGTTTATGCAAATTAGCGATGCGGTTTTAAGTTTCATTTCTGTGAGAGTTGCGCAAAACTGAATTAAACACATTATAATGTCAAACGGATTGATGTGGCTCTAGAGTCATTAAGGTTTATATGTCGTAAAGTTGAATTTATTTATGCAGATTAGTAGTGCAGATAGTAATAATAATGATGATCATTTTAATACAAAAACGTTAATGATTAATCGATAATCGATTGTTAATTCTTCTGACGATCGATTAAGAAAATTTCATTGAATGCCCATCCCTACTCGAAATACACCTTTAAGTGAGTAAATGGTAAAGGGAAACAACTAGAACATTTTGCAGAATAGGTCTGATTTAAACAGTGTTGTAGTGCTCTTACTCAGATTTTGGGATGTCACAAAACAACACACTGGATATTGACATTTTGCATCTTCCAAACAAGAATAACAACATTATCTATTTTTGGATATCTCTGCCATGATATCCTCATACTCATAGAACTATAGTTACAGGTAACTGACATGTCTCATCCCAAAGCACAACGAGGTGACTCACTCCACGCAAATGTTTTACAATGATACAGAAGCGCGCTGCACAAAAGAGGGATTTATCAGTAATATCTTTAAATGATACACTGTATTTGAGCTCAGATTGTTCACTCCTGAGCTGTAGTGTTGTGTCAGATTACATAAGTCTCTATATTTACATTCCTGTGTCTGCAGCTGTATGGTTCCTATGGCGACCACTCAGGCCTGAAACAGGCACTTTTATGCTCCTCCAACAAAAAAATACAAAGACCTCTAAAAGCACAAATATTACCGGGGGCTTGGGTTAGTGTGAATAATCCTGATTATAGATGAATATAATCTTGATTTTAAAGTGACAGTTTAAATGGTTTAAAAGTTGATTCTGATCTGATTAAAATGAGCTGATTCATTCTGTCTGAACAGCAGGTCATTTAACGACACAGATCTCAAAGGGCAAACGAATAAAGTCATCTACTCTGACTCGTAGTAGTAATTGCAGTAGTAGCAGTAGAAGTGGTACCTGTAGTAGTAGAAGTGGTACCTGTAGTAGTAGTAGTAGTAGTAGTAGTAGTAGTAGTAGTAGTAGTAAGTAGTAATAGTAATAGTAATAGTAATAGTAATAGTAATAGTAATAGTAATAGTAATAGTAATAGTAATAGCAATAGCAACAGCAGTTCGTCCAGTACTCCCAGTCCAGGTTCTATGTACATATAATATTTGTTATTTTTGGTACCAGGTTAGGGACTTAACCTTTTCTGCAGGTGGCATGTAACCTGCATTATTCCATGAAAATAGAAAGTAAAATCCATACTTCGGAACATTCTTCATGGAGATATGTCAAATTGTGAAAGATTATAGCAACAGCAATGACACTTCCATGGAAACAAACAGCAGGAGGCCCTCCTCCATGCCCAATATGAGTCAGGTTTGAGGAGATGCAAGCCTGCTCACAGTAAGAACCATGTTTTTATGTTTTTGGTACAATAAAAACAACCAAAAGGAAAAAACTTGTGCCTATTTTTACATACTGTGGCTTTAACATGAGTATTATTTGTTTGGACATTATTCTCCCTCTGACCTTTGAGCAGGGCATATTTGATCTATATTATAATATGACCCCTCACCTTTGAAGATACAGGCCTTACCTGAACATATATTATCTATAGTAGAAAATAACAAATTTTAGCGGTATAGATCAAACCCTTACACATGTATATTTCATGTAGAATCCGTGTCTCACCTTTGAGCAGCGGCAGCGGCGTGAGCTCGATGGGTTTTCCCTGTGAGCGAAACTGGGAGGAGCTTTGGGAGCGTTTCTGTTTGGCTTTACGCACAGACTTCCTGGAGAAGCCGTCCACTTTATCCACAGAGGGCGCTGTGGTGGCTGCAGACGACATGGCCCTGGAGAGGAAACAGAAGGAGAGGTTAGGACTAAAGAACGAACCAGGACTGAGAGTCTCTGGATAAGCGGTACTAACAATAAGGTTCACCACTCGCTCTGTCAACCGTGATTTTGTGCATGTTCACTGGGTTCATGTGGAGTCACCACTTAGTGACTGATCACAGTGATGACAGAAAGTTTAATTGAATCATGGATAAATCAGAATAAAGCACAAACATGTTAAAGTAATAAATCACACATCAGTTTAGGGCTGAAGGATTCATCACAACTGAATCTAAGAGCCCTGATTTCTCTAAGAAAAACAAAGGATTCTGTCTTAAACTGCTAGGCCTGTGGTTTAGATCTGTACAAACATGTTAGATCTGAAACACATGTGATTCTTGTACCAGTTTATCAGTTCATATTATCAGTAATTTTGTCAACACTTGCAACACATGAACTTTGAACAAATTTAAAATCTAATCAATAACCGCACTGCTTTTCAGGAAAACCATATTTAGAAATATGAACCATTACATTTTAGAGTTTAAATCTTTACAGATTGTAACAGCATACATGTGATACAAGATGACTAAGAAATGCCTATATTCCACCAAGGAATCATCTGCATACTCTAAATATGGACAAATATCATTTCCACCTAAATAAATCTGAGTTCACTGCTATAAAAAATATACAATGTCACTTATGTTTTTAACCTGAAGGTTGTTGGTTTAAGTCCTGACTCCGGCACTTTGACTTTGTCTCTCACAACATGGCTTCAGTCCATCCAGTGTTTTGTTTTTTTCTTGGACATGTGAACCCTGATGACCTGATGTTCTAGTGGATGTGATTCTCAAATAAAGGCAAAGAGTTTGAGCATCAGAGTGGATGGAGAGAAGAGAGAGAGGGTTTTATTTGAAGAGGACCCTGAGGAGAGGACAGGGACTGTAAGGAGAGAGAGAGAGAGAGGAGAAAAACAGAAGAGGGGATAGAGGGAGAATGGAAAGAAGGGGAGAGAGGAGAGAGGAGAGAGAAGAGGGAGAGGGGGGTGGAAAAGAAAGTATGGAGTAATGGTGAGATACAGAAAGGAAAGGAGTGAAGGAGGAGAGGAAGAGGAGAGTGAGGAAGAATAAAGAGAGTGAAGTGAAAGAGGAGAGAGAAAGGAGAGAAGAAAGAAAGCATGGGGAAAGAGGTAAAGAAAGGGGGAGATGGAGAGAAAAAGGCAGAGGGAGAGAAAAAGGCAGAGAGAGAGAAAGAATGAAGGAGAGAGACATAAAAGAACTGAATGCTTGGGGCCACACTTAGATCACTATTCCAAACATCATACTCAGACAGATTCAGCACAGTGTCACTGTGTCTTTGGGCAAGACACTTCATCCTCCTCCTTTGTTTATGAAGGAGAGCTCCAAAGTGAGCAAAAGGGAAATCTCACGTGTCTTTGCAAATCACGACTGGAAAGGATACAATTAAACAAATCTCAAAGTCTGTCATTTTTGAAGTACCATAATTTATAAATAGTAGTAGTAGTAGTAGTAGTAGTAGTAGTAGTAGTGGCAGTACTTGTAGTATAGTTGTAGTAGTAGTAGTAGTGTAGTGGTATAGTAGTGGTAGAGTAGTATAGCAGTAATTGTAGCAGTATAACAGTAGTAGTAGCAGTATAACTGTAGTAGTAGCAGTAGTAGTAGTAGTAGTAGTAGTAGTAGTAGTAGGAAGTAGTAGTAGTAGTAGTATAGCTGTAATAGTTGTAATAGTAGTAGGAGTAATAGTATAGTAGTGGTATAGTAGTGTGTAATAGTGTATAATAATGTGTAGTTGTGTGTAGTAGTAGTAGTAGTAGTAGTAGTAGTAGTAGTAGTAGTAGTAGTAGTAGTAGTAGTAGTAGTAGTAGTAATAGTGTATAATAGAGTATAGTTGTGTGTAGTAGTAGTAGTAGTAGTGGTGGTAGTAGTAGTAGTGGTAGTAGTAGTAGTAGTAGTAGTAGTAGTAGTAGTAGTAGTAGTAGTAGTAGTAGTAGTAGTAGTAGTAGTAGTAGTAGTAGTAGTAGTAGTAGTAGTAGTAGTAGTAGTAGTAGTAGTAGTAGTAGTAGTAGTAGTAGTAGTAGTAGTAGTAGTAGTAGTAGTAGTAGTAGTAGTAGTAGTAGTAGTAGTAGTAGTAGTAGTAGTAGTAGTAGTAGTAGTAGTAGTAGTAGTAGTAGTAGTAGTAGTGGTAGTAGTAGTAGTAGTAGTAGTAGTAGTAGTAGTAGTAGTAGTAGTAGTAGTATAGTAGTGTAGTAGTAGTAGTTAGTAGTAGTGTATAATAGTGTATAATAGTGTGTAGTTGTGTGTAGTAGTAGGAGTAGTATCAGAAGTAGAAGTAGAAGTAGTAGTAGTAGTGGCAGTAGTAGTAGTAGTACGGTAGTAGTAGTACAGTAGTAGTAGTAGTAGTACAGTAGAAGTAGTAGTAGTAGTAATAGTGGTAGTAGATAGTCTGTATTTTTGCTGGGTCTCGTGTACATGTTGTAGTCCATGTTGTTGTTATTGTTGCTGTGTGTTCATCTGAACTCTTAAATCCAGGTGACAGTGACGCATTTGACCAGGGGCTGATAATCTGTGACGCTAATGTCCCGGGGCAATTAGCAGCTTCCTCTCAGCGCTAATGCTAAATGCTAACAGCTAAAGGCTAAAGGCTAAAGCTAAGGCTAAAGGCTAGCTACTGATTTACATGGGTCAGTGCAATCAGACATAATGCAAGAGACCAGAAGAAACCAAGAAACTATGGACTAAACAAGGAATAAACACGGATTTAACCAGGACAGAATCAGGGACTGAAGTAGGACTGAAACAGGACTGGACCAGGGACTAAAGAAGGACTAAACCAGGACTAAACTAGGCACTAAACCAGAACTGAACCAAAAGTAAACAATGACTAAACCAGGACTGAACAATAACTGAACCAAGGATTAAAGCAGAGGACTAAACCAAGACTAAACCAGGACCAAACCAAAACCAATCCAGGAGTGAACAATGACTGAACCAAGGACTAAATCAAGGACTAAAGCAGGTCTAAACCAAGACTAAACCAAGACTAAACCGGGGCGAACCAGGACCAAACAATGACTAAACCAAACCAGTACTGAACCACGACCGAACCACTACTGAACCAGGACTAAACCAGGACTAAACCATAACTAAACCATAACTAAAACAGGGACTAAACCAGGACTAAACAATGACTAAACCACGGACTGAAGCAGGTCTAGAAAAGGCAATTTAACTTTCCAGGCAAACTAATAACATCTCCATGGAGACAAGCAGGTGGCTCCAGAAAAGTTCTACACTGCGCCTTTAATCGTAGCTGTTTTTCACATTACAGTAAAATGAATCTACCTGAACTTATCCAGTTACCCAGTGCTCACAGCCGTTTTGTCCGATAAGGAAAGTTTATAGATCTTAAAGAGACATCATCTGCACAAAGGCCTTGATGAGAAACATGCTGTACAAAATGTTCTGTTCAAATCTGGCACCTGCGAGTTAGGGCTGCCAAAAAATAAAATCAATACCCGGATAGTGTGTTGTCAAAAGTATCAAAAATCAGATACTAACCGAAACTAAAACTACTACATCAAAACTAGATACTGATTTGAGCGGTTATCAATACTAAAGAGTTCCATTCACAGGACAGAAATGAAGCTTTCCTTAATAGTTTTAGAATGATGTTGAGCTGTATCAGAATAAGTATAAGAGCACATAGACTTTTATACGCCCATGGACCACTGTGGAACCTACCTGGACCACTGAGGGATTACACAGATTTAAGACCACATGGGAATAGAAAAGAAAGTACTTCAATTTAATGTTGAAAATTACATTCTGTTGTCTAAAGAACGTGTTTTTTATTATTTTATTTTGGTATCTGTTACAGTATTTAGTATCGAGTGTATTCCTTAGTATCAAAATTGAGTTAGAGATTTTAGTATTAAATCTAGATGCATATTTGGACAGGCAATAAGTGATACTGGACACTTTTTTTTTTATTGAACAAGTGGAAAAGGTTATAGCACAGAATCTATACCAACTGTGTGCATGTCACCAAATGAGTTTCACTACAAAGACATTAGAAAAGAACCGCAAATTGCCTTCTAATTGAAAGACAAAGAATTAAGAATTATTCAAGATGTAAGATCTATGAAGGACTGAACCAAAACAGGCCTTAAAGCAGGACTAAAGCAGGACTAATGCAGGACTAAAGCAGGACTAATGCAGGACTAAAGCAGGACTAAAGCAGGACTAAAGCAGGACTAAAGCAGGAATAAAGCAGGAATAAGAGACACCAATAGATATACAATGAACCAGAACTAAACCAGAACTAAACTCAGTCTAAACCAAGGTCTGAACAAAGAACAACAGACGCCAAGAGATCTGCAATGAACTAGGAATGAACTAGGACTAAACCAGAACTAAACCGGGTCTAAACCAGGTCTAGAAGTGGTCCTTACCCGCACAGAGGGACACAGGCGTCCCCCGTTACCACCATAGTCCAGCCCTGAGCGTTTGTTAAGAGTAAAATCCAGAAACGAAAGACAGAAGACAGAAGAGAGGAGGAGAAAAGGAGGAGGATTCAGGCTGCTGCTGCTCAGACTTACATAACAGGAGAGAGAGGGAACAGAGAGAGGGGAGGGAGGAGAGAGAGAGAAAGAGGGAGGGATTATGAGAGGAGAGAAAGAGGAAAGCGTAAAGAACCAAGTGTGCACAGATAAAGATGAGAAGAGGTTTAGTGTTTGGAGTTGTACAAATATAGTAAAACAGTTATATCTGTGTCACTGGAAGGTTTGAAGTTGCTGTTCTTTGTCACACTGAAGGTGCTCTATGTCACTTCTCTGATGCTTGTCTCCATGGAGATGTTATCGTTTTGCCTGGAATGTTACACAATATTGCCTTAACTGTATCCGCTTATATCACTGCATGAAATAAATGAATTGATTTATTTTCATGGCTTTATATTTGCATTGGACAAAAAAAGTCAACTTTGAGTTGCATCT